GTGGCAAGTGCTTGTAGTCCCAGCTACTGGAGAGGCTGAGGTGGGAGGATCACGGGAGCCCCAGAAGTGTAGGTTGCAGTTTGCCAAGATTGTGCCACTGCACTCCAGCCTGGGCGACGGAAGGAGACCCTGTCTCAAAAAACAAACAAAAAAGATAAATATATAAACGAAGCTGGGCATGATGGTGCATACCTGTAGTCCCAGCTACCTGGGATGCTGAGGTGGGAGGATTGCTTGAGGCCAGGAGTTCTAGGCTGAAGTGAGCTATGATCGTGCCACTGCACTCCAGCCTGGTGACAGAGTGAGACTCTGGCTCTTAAAAAAAAAAAAAAAAAGATGAAACAGGTGAAGTTATTTTCTTTAATTTTTAAAATAAAAAGTTATTTTTATAAACAAAATTTTAATTAATTTAAACCAAATTATTTTAAACTATAACACTAATATATAATATACAAAAATATAATTTTAATTAAATCTATAATTATTCTAAACATTAACTTTTAAATTGTCTTTTTTTTTTTTTTTGAGATGGTGTCTTGCTGTGTCGCCCAGGCTGGAGTACACTGGCATGATCTTGGTTCACTGCCTCCTCTGCCTCCCGGGTTCAAGCAATTCTCCTGCCTCAGCCTCCTGAGGCTAATTTTTGTATTTTTATTAGAGATGGGGTTTCACCATATTGGTCAGGCTGGTCTCGACCTCCTGACCTCAGGTGGTCCACCCACCTCAGCCTCCCAAAAGTGCTGGAATTACAGGCATGAGTCACCACGCCTGGACTAAGTTTTCTTAATTTAAAAATTTAACTCAATATACATTTTTAAAAATTATTTCAAGAAGTGACATTAGTCATCTTTCAAGTGCTTGGTAGCTACATGTGACTGGTGAGTGAGGGCAGGACTGTTTTTTGTTTTTTGTTTTTTTTTGAGACAGAGTTTTACTCTCGTTGCCCAAGCTGGAGTGCAATGGTGTGATCTCAGCTCACTGCAACCTCCGCCTCCTGGGTTCAAGCGATTCTCCTGCCTCAGCCTCCTGTATGCATCACCACACCCAGCTAACATTTTTTATTTTTAGTAGAAACGGAGTTTCATCATGTTGGCCAGGCTGGTCTCAAACTCCTGACCTCAGGTGATCTGCCTGCTTCGGCCTCCCAAAGTGCTGGGATTACAGGCGTGAGCCACCGTGCCTGACCACAGGGCCTGTCTTTATTTAGATGTTTGCTATTTTGTTCGCCACAAATTATTTTACATTAGTTAAAAAATATGTTTTGAGGCTGGGCATGGTGGCTTACACCTGTAATTCCAGCACTTTGTGGGGCTGAGGCGGGAGGATCTCTTGAGTCCAGGAGTTTGAGACCAGCCTGGGAAACATGGTGAAGCTCTGACTCTACCAAAACAAAAACAAAACAAAACAAAACAAAAACTAGCTGGGTGTGGTGGTGTGCACCTGTAGTCCCAGCTACTTGGGAGGCTGAGGTAGGAGGATGATTTGAACCCAGGAGGCGGAGGTTGCAGCAAGCCAAGACCATGCCATTACACTCTAGCTTGGACAACAGAGCCAAACCCTGTCTCAAAAAATAAAAATAAATAAAAATGAAAAAATAAAAAACAAAAATATCAGAATTACACGCATGAAATGGGTGAATTGTATGGTAAGTACATCTCAATAAAGCTAAAACATTTTTTTTACTGATTTACATACCATCAAACTTGCCCTTTTAAAATGTGCAATTCAGTGGGTTTTAGTCCAGTCCCAGAGTCATCCGATATCACCACAATCAACTGTAGAGCATTTTTATCATCCTAAAGAAACCTGGCACCATGGAGCAGCCACTCCCCATTCCCTTCTCCCACCCAGGCCCTGACAGCCACGAATCCACTTTGTCTTTATGGATTTGCCTGTTCTGGACATTTCATATAAATGGACTCACACACTATGAGGTCTTCAGTGACTGCTTTTTCACTTAGCATCATGTTTTCAAGGCTCGTGCATGTTGTGGCATGTACTGGAACTCCATTCCTTTATATGACCAAATAATATACCATTGCATTGGCTGGATGCGGTGGCTCATGCCTGTAATCCCAGCATTTTGGAGGGCCAAGGCGGGCGCATCACTTAAGGTCAGGAGTTCGAGGCTTGTCTGGCCAACATGGTAAAACCCCATCTCTACCAAAAATACAAATATTAGCTGGGCATGGTGATGCACATCTGTACTTCCAGATATTCGGGAGGCTGAGGCAGGAGAATTGCTTGAACCCAGGAGGCAGAGGTTGCAGTGAGCCAAGATTGCACAACTGCATTCCAGCCTGGGCAACAGAGCGAGACTCCATCTCAAAATATATATATATATATATATGTATGTGTGTGTGTATACATGTCTATATCATTGCATGGTCGAGCCACATTTTATTTATTCATTCATCAGGTGATGAATATTTATGTTTTTTTCCACTTTTTGGCTCTTGTGAATAATGCTGCTATGAGCATTCATGCACAAGTTTTTGTACAGACATCTGTTTTTAATTCTTTGGGGTTTTGTATTAATTTTAATTTTTAAAATATATTGCATAAAAATGTTATTTACCTTGGTGACTGGGTTTTTTGGCGCTCCCTTAAAATTTGCACCAGGCATGGTGGCTCACACCTGTAATCCTAACACTTTGGGAGGCTGAGGTCGGTGGATGGCTTGAGTCCAAGAGTTTGAGACTAACCTGGGCAGCATGGCAAAACCCCCTCTCCACAAAAAATATGCACACAAGGCCGGGCACAGTGGTTCACACCTGTAATCCCAGCACTTTGGGAGGCCGAGGTGGGCGAATCACTTGAGGTCAAGAGTTTGAGACCAGCCTGGCCAACATGGTAAAACCCCAACTCAACTAAGAACACAAAAAAATTAGCCGGACATAGTGGTGTGTGCCTGTAATGCCAGCTACTCCAGAGGCTGAGGCAGGGGAATTGCTTGAACGTGGGAGGCAGAGGTTGCAGTGAGCCAAGATCGCTCCACTGTACTCCAAGCCTGGGTGACAGAGTGAGACTCCGTCTCAAGAACACACACATACACAACCCAAAACACACACACAACACACACACACAATCAACTGGGCGTGGTGGTGTGTGCCTGTAGTGCCAGCTACTTGGGTACTTGGGTGGCTGAGGCAGGAGGATCACCTGAACCCAATAAGTCAAGGCTACAGCAAGCCATGATTGCGCCACAGCACTCCAGCCTGGGTGACAAAGTGAGAACCTAACTCAAAAAAAAAAAAAAAAAAAATTTGCACCTGGGGCAAGTGCCACACTCATCTCAACTCAGTCTCACCTTGCAAGTCTTGTGCCTTGCTGGCTGTGTGACTCTGGACAAGTTGCTTAACCACTCAGAGCCTCGATTTCCTCCTCTATAAAATGGGGATAATCTCTGTAACTACTCACAGCTGGCAGCAGAATGTGATGCCGTGAATTCGCCCTTACAGAGCCAGCACTGTTCTTGGCACATGGTAATCTTCACATATTTTTTCCTATAGGAGGGCTGGTGCCAGGCCGGGAGTGGGGTGGAAGGGTCCCAAAATGGCCGTGAGCGTCCTCTGCCCTTGAGAAGAGCTAGCCCAGCTGTCTAGAGCTCCCTGCGGCGGCTGCTCTGGTAAGCAGCAAGCATTTTTGGCTCTCCTGTCTCAGCATGATGCCCCAACAAGGTTCTTTCGGGGGTGGGACCCAATGCTGCTCGCCCGATGGCCTGCCTGGCTCCCAGCACCTTCCATCCCAGCTGCTCAGGGCCCCTCACCTGCGCCTCCCCCACCCTCCCGTCTGCCCACTCCCATCGCAGGCCATAGCTCCCTGTCCCTCTCCGCTGCCATGAGGCCTGCACTTTGCAGGGCTGAAGTCCAAAGTTCAGTCCCTTCGCTAAGCACACGGATAAATATGAACCTTGGAGAATTTCCCCAGCTCCAATGTAAACAGACCAGGCAGGGGCCCTGATTCACGGGCCGCTGGGGCCAGGGTTGGGGGTTGGGGGTGCCCACGGGGCTTGGCTAGTGGGGTTTTGGGGGGGCAGTGGGTGCAAGGAGTTTGGTTTGTGTCTGCCGGCTGGCAGGCAAACGCAACCCACGCAGTGGGGGAGGCGGCTAGCGTGGTGGACCCAGGCCGCGTGGCCCTGTGGCAGCCGAGCCATGGTTTCTAAACTGAGCCAGCTGCAGACGGAGCTCCTGGCGGCCCTGCTCGAGTCAGGGCTGAGCAAAGAGGCACTGATCCAGGCACTGGGTGAGCCCGGGCCCTACCTCCTGGCTGGAGATGGCCCCCTGGACAAGGGGGAGTCCTGCGGCGGCGGTCGAGGGGAGCTGGCTGAGCTGCCCAATGGGCTGGGGGAGACTCGGGGCTCCGAGGATGATACGGACGACGATGGGGAAGACTTCACGCCACCCATCCTCAAAGAGCTGGAGAACCTCAGCCCTGAGGAGGCGGCCCACCAGAAAGCCGTGGTGGAGACCCTTCTGCAGTAAGGAGCCCTTCCCCGTCCCAGCTCCCAGGAAGAGCCCAGAGGGCCCCCCACTCAGCTCCTAATGAGCCCCCCTTCTGAGTCGAGTCCCCATGAGCTTCAGCCTTTAGCCTAACTGCTGGGAAGGGGGACAGGGTCCAGGAGAGCCCAGGGGCCCCTGCTTGGAGGGTTGAGCCTCCAGCCCCTGAACTGCTCCTCTGCGGAGTCCCAAATCCCCACGAGCTGAGGCCTTCAGCCCAGTCCCTGGGCAGGAGACATTTCCTGGGGGGTCCAAGATGGGAGAAAAAGCAGGTGAGTTCACAACTCAAATGCCTGGAGAACTGGGGGGTGGTGGAAATGTTTAGCCACTAGGATCAAGTATACTCTGCAGACCTTAACTCCTGCACTGAGTCCTCAGTGGGTAGGCTCCGGGGGCCAGGAAGCACTGCCAGGGAGGAGGGCCCGAAGCTGGGGTTTTGGGGGCTTCCCTGGCCTCCCAGGGACTCATGCATTTAGCCAGGGAAGCCCAGGTCTTTCTTACCTGAGGCAGACAGAGCCTCGAGGTGGGAGCTGCTCCCCTTTCCTGTGTGGCCACAGGCACCCCACCTCACCGGCAGGCGCCATTAGAGGCTCCCCGTTCTACATTCCCATCCACTGGCGGACTCCCCGTCTCCTGGAGAACTGGGTGGGTCCTGAGCTCGATGCCTCCCCTCTCCTCAGCAGAGCTGACCTAGTTACTAATTACCCACATGCTTTATTATTTCTCTTTTGTTTTATAAATTTATAAACGGCGAAAGGCTCTGATAAGGTCTGTGATCATTAACTTGTGGAAATGGTGGCCTGGAAAGATCTGGGCCAACCCACCTCCCACCTAGTGGGGGTGGGGGATGGGGGTGTAGGGGAGAAGGAAGGGTGGCCTGGGGGCTGCAGGGGCCACCCCTCCCCAGGGGCTCCCTGACCTTCACCCTACAGCACCTGCTTGGGGAGGTTCACTACTTCCTGGGCGCTGTGCTGAGGTTTCACGGGAATAATTTCCCTTCATGGTGAGAGAAATCCTGGGCAGAAGCTATGAGTGACTCTGCTTCACAAATGGGGAAACCGGGGCTTAGAGCGGGGAAGGAGCTGGACTAAGTTCACCCAACGGAGGCCCCAAACCTACTCTGTTTGCTGCTCTCAATTGCTATGATGAGGGGCCAGAGGCCTGCAGGGGGTGGCCAGGGAGTCAGAGAGACAGCGAGTCCCAAAGATGCTCTGAAGGGGCCCATCTCTTTTCTGTCCAAGGTCCTGATCCCAGCTAGGGTGGGGGAGGGCTGGTGGATTCCTGCTTCCCAGAGGTCTCAGGGAGCCTCCCGAGGGCCTGGACAGGGGGCAGGGGAGCAGTCAGGGCCCCCTGACTTGGCAGGAAGAGGAGGGCAAAGGACTCTAGAGCTGCAGGGGAGGGGCAAAGAGTCAGGCATCCCAGACCCAGGGCGAAGGCAACTCGACGGGGTGGGGCTGGGCCAGACCTGCCCAGGGCCCCAGATGGGACTGGGGGCTTTGGGGTGAGGGTGGGGGCAGGGGATGCTTTCTTACCTGAGTGAGTGAGCTCTCTCGGTCAGCAGCCCCCTTTGGTGGGATGGTGGGGTTGGGGGAGCCTTGATCCACAGCATTTGAAGGGGAAGCAGAGGTCAAAGTGCTTCCTAGGGACCAGCAGAGACCTGGAAGCTGAGGCAGAGAGTGTAGAAAGAGGCCATCGGGGGAGATGGAGAGAGAAGCTGGGAGAAGCGGAACGGAGGAGCCGGGGGGCGGGGGCTCAGACGCAGCTGGGAGAAGGGGCACGGGAGAGAATGAGGTGCCCCAAGCTTGCAAGGAGGCTGGAGTGCTTCCCGCCTGCCCCGATTGGGTTTTCTTTAATGCTAACAGCATGCTATTTACTTTCCATTTAAATTTGAGATGTTGCTATAAATTATCAACCAGCTCCTTGTTCCTGTAGAGTTTATAACTAACTACCTGGGTTACTTATTGTTCAGGTAACAAAAGGGATCGGAAAACGCCCTGAGTGAAAAAAGTGGGGCCTCCAGCGTCAGGGTCGGGGAAGGAGCCAGGGAGAGAGGGGCGGGGGACCCCTGTTGAAGGCCTGGGCCGCTGGGGAGGTTGAGGCTGGGAAGATGGCAGAGGCAGAATGTCTAGTAGAAGCTGTTTCCTGGGAGAAGTCAGTGTCTGGGAAGAAGCCGGGTGGGTCCTGGGTCCCAGGTCTCCCTGGGGTGGCCCATGTTTGTGGCCATTGCGGGAACCTGAGCTCTTTCTTCAGATCTGCCCCTTAGTTCCCTGAGTGAACTTGGGCAAGTCTGTTCCTCTCGTTCTGCCTTAGTTTCCCTTCCTGGCCAAGGAATAAAATCCAAACTCCCTGCCTTGGTTTCGTTCCCCTCCCTCCACCCCACCAAATTCCTGAATCTCCTCCCAGGTCTTTGTCTTCCTCCCTGCCTTTGCTGTAGCCATTTTGGCTTTGCTGTTCCTCAGCACCCCAAGCCAATTCCCACCCCAGGGCCTTTGCACGTGCTCTTCCTGCTGCTTGGAACCCCTTTCCAGATCTTCCCATGGCCGATTCCTTCTCCTTCACCTCCCTGATTGCTCCATCCAAAAGGGGGCCCCACCCCCATCACTGTCTTCCACTGCTGTCGTTTACTTTCTCTGGTTCCCTGTCATGACTTGTGATCATCTGATTTATCTGTTTGTTTTCTGTCTCCTGCCATGAAAATAGAAGCTCTTCAAGGACAAGGCCTGTGTTGCCTTATTCACCACTTGTACCCACATCCTGCCCAGTGGCCGATGCACAGCAGGAATGAGTGAGTGACTGGGATTCTCTGAGGCCCTGAAGATATCTACTGCCCTGTTGGCCAGGGCCCAGCAGCCTGAGACGTGGCCAAGGGAGAAACTGGGACCCAGGGTTCCTTCCTGGGTGTCCTCCCAGGTCCTTTCTGTCCCTGATCAGCTCAAACCCCAACCTGTTTCTTTTTTGTTGTTTTTGTTTTTGAGACAGAGTCTTGCTCTGTTGCCCAGGCTGGAGTGCAGTGGCGCATTGCACTCCGCCTCCTGGGTTCAAGTGATTCTCCTGCCTCAGCCTCCCGAGTAGCTGGGATTACAGGTGCGCACCACCATGCCTGGCTGATTTTTTGTATTTTAGTAGAGATGGGGTTTCACTATGTTGGCCAGGCTGGTCTCAAGCTCCTGACCTCAGGTGATCCACCTGCCTCGGCCTCCCAAAGTGCTGGGATTACAGTCATGAGCCACTGCCCCTGGCCTTCAAACCCCAACCTTGAAGTGCTCTGATCCTGCCCATCAGGATCAGGGCACCGAGACCCAGGAAGACAGTTGCCAAGGGAGGACAGAGGATGTGACACCCCGATAAAAGCCAGACTGCCTGCCTCCTAATCCCAGCTCTGCCCCTTTCTAGCCTGAGCAGGTGATTTTATTTTTCTGAGCCTCAGTTTTGTCTGCAGGGTAGAGATGACAATAACCCTTGTCCACAGGGTAAAATGGCATGGCACTTGTAGAGTACACATGTAGTAAGTGCAATACACAGCAGTCATTATTAGTGATTCCATTTTACAGATGAGCAAATTAAGGCTGAGAGAGGCAGTGCCTTACCGAACGAAACTCTTCCGAAGGACTGAAGGCAGGCCAGGACTTGGACCTGGGTCCTCCTACCTCAAGCTCCATACAGCAACCTCGAGGTTGCACTTTCCCCAGTCATTCCTGCTGTTCAACTTGACCATCAACTCACTTCCATACAGTGCTTCGCAGTTCATAAAGGGCTTACAAAATGTGCTAAGCTCATTTTTCCCTCCCCACCATCTCTGAAGTCTGAAATATCATTAGCCCCGTTTCACAGATGAGGAAACTGAGGCACACGGAGGTTAAGCAAAGAATCAAGGCCCAATCTAAAGCCCCCACACTGAGAAGTCAGCTCCCCCTCCAGATGTGGGGATGAACACCACAACCCTGCATGCCCTGAAACTCCAAGGGCAAGAGGGCAAGAGGCTCAAAGCCTTGGACATTTGATTGACCCCGGAATGGGTAGGAGAGAGAGGAGGAAGATGTGGGCGGGTCTTCACCTCTCCTGGGCTCTGCTCTGTGGGGTCAAGGGTCTCCAGGGCTGCATTAAGATGATGAGGATGACAATATTATTCCACAAATTCAGCACTTACTGTGTGCCAGGCACTGCCCTAAGTTCATCCTCCCTATTTGAAGCTCATTTAATTTTCCCAGTAGCGGTGTGAGGTAGGGGTGGATTTTCCCCACGTTACAGGGCAGATGTGGGTCGTACAGGAGCGCGTGTGGCTAGGTTGCAGTGGTGGGATTTGAACCCATGTTGCTTTGACTCTCAAACCCATTAGTGTCAAAGCAGGAGATACCTGGAGATTTGGCCTCTTGGTTCTTTTCTTTTTCTTTCTTTTTTTTCGGGGGTGGGGATAGAGTCTCACTCTGCTGCTGGGGCTGGAGTGCAGTGGCACAATCTCGGCTCATTGTAACCTCTGCCTCCTGGGTTCAAGTGATCCTCCTGCCTCAGTCCCCTGAGTAGCTGGGACCACAGGCACACGACACCACACCCAGCTAATTTTTGTATTTTTAGTAGAGACAGGGTTTCACTATGTTGGCCAGGGTGGTCTCTAACTCCTGACCTTATGTGATCCACCCATCTCGGCCTCCCAAAGTGCTGGGATTACAGGCATGAACCACCGAGCGCAGCCTTGGCCTCTCAGTTCTGAGCTAGGACAGTTGGAGAAGCTGCCCTCAAAAAGAGTCAGGCCCTTGGAGACTCTGTGTGTGTGTGTGTGTGTGTGTGTGTGTGTAAGAGACACACAGAGAGACAGAAGAGAGTGATAGCAAGAGAGTGGGGGGTGGGGGGAGAGAGAGACATTGCTTAAGTAGGTTCTAGAAAAAAGTGGCACAGGAGGCTTCTCCCAGAAAAGGGAAAGCCAGGCCCTCTTGGCTCTCTGTCTCCTAACTGGCATTGAAAATTCACTTTTTTGTGGCCGGGCGTGGTGGCTCACGCCTGTAATCCCAGCACTTTGGGAGGCCGAGGCGGGCGGATCACAAGGTCAGGAGATCGAGACCATGGTGAAACCCCGTCTCTACTAAAAATAGAAAAAAAAATTAGCCGGGCGCAGTGGTGGGCGCCTGTAGTCCCAGCTACTCGGGAGGCTGAGGCAGGAGAATGGCGTGAACCCGGGAGGCGGAGCTTGCAGTGAGCCGAGATTGCGCCACTGCACTCCAGCCTGGGCGACAAAGCAAGACTCCGTCTCCAAAAAAAAAAAAAAAAGAAAATTCACTTTTTTGTTACGGATTTGTTGCCCAAATCTACTAGGAATTGTTTAAAAGTGGAACATTCATATCAGCTCACTTTAACAGTTTGCTTTCCATTTTCACATTCAAGAGCCTGTCTTCTGTTTCTAAGGGTTGCATATGTATTCGTGCAGGCTGGCTGGCCTTTGTTTTATTTTCAAGTTCAACTTAAATTTGACCTGGTATGGGAGGATGAGAGAGAGAGAGAGAGACAGAGAGAGAGAGAGAAACAGACAGACATGGAATCAGATGGACAGGGGTACATAGCAATTCTTTGGTTTGAGCCCAGGAGAGGCTCTGGTGAGAGGAAGACTGACCCTATTCTCTTTGGGGGAGAGAGAAGGGAAGGATGGAGGAAGGGAGGACACAGGAGGACACGGCACAGGAGGGTGATGGCTGCAGATGGGGGAGGGGAGGCATCGGGCAGCCTGGCTCTAGGATCAGATAAACATGTTTGCCACGGAGCACCAGGCTGGACTTTGTACTGCCCTTCCCTCTGAGCTCTGACTGGCAACCAGAGAAGCGGGGAGGTGAAGGAGAGAGGATCCTAGGAGCCCAGGAAAGAAGGGAGAGAGAGAAGCTGGGGAGAGGCCTGCGGGGGGCTTCCTAGCAACATGAAATTTTTTCTGGGTCCCAACTAGATCACCTTGCACAAGTGACTGTGCCTTTCTGAGCCTCAGTTTTCTCCTCTGTGAAATGGGCACAGCGTCTACTTCGTAGGGTTATAAGATGTAAGTGGCCGCCCTCAGCACGGTGTCTGGCTCACAGTAAATCCTCAAGAAACATGAGTTTTCATTTTTTTTTTTTTTTTTTTTGAGACAGGGTTTCACTCTGTCGCCAAGGCTGGAGTGCCGTGGCGCAATCACAGCTCATTGCAGCCCCGACCTCCCAGGTTCAAGAGATCCTCTTGTCTCAGCCTTCTGAGTAGCTGGGACTACAGGCTTGTGCCACCACACCTGGCTCATTTTTCTATTTTTTTGTAGAAACAGAGTCCCACTCTGTTGTCCAGGCTGGTCTCAAATTACTGAGCTCAAGGAATCCTCGTATCTTAGCCTCCCAAGAAGCTGGGACTACAGGTGTGCACCACCATGCCTGGCTAATTTATTTATTTTTTTACAGAGACAGAGTCTCACTATGTTGTCCAGGCTGGTCTTGAACTACGGGGCTCAAGTGATCCTCCCACCTCAGCCTTTCAAATAGCTGGGATTACCAGCATGAGCTACCATTGCTGGTTTACAATTCAGCTTTAAATATTATATATGACAAGGTGGGAGGATCGCTTGAGCCCAGGAGTTTGAGACCAGCCTGGCCAACATAGCGAGTCCCTGTCTCTACCAAAAAAAAAAAAAAAAAAGAAAAGAAAGAAAGAAAAAAAAGTACAAAAATTAGCTGGGTACGTTGGCACGTGCCTGTGGTCCCAAGCACTTGGGAGTCTGAGGTGGGAGGACCAACTGAGCCCAGGAGTTGGAGGCTACAGTGAGCTGTGATCACGCTACTGAGCTCCAGCCTGGATGACAGAACAAGTAGCCTCTAAAAAGAAAATAAATACATAAAAATAAATATTGGCCAGGCGTGGTGGCTCACACCTGTAATCCCAGCACTTTGGGAGGCCAAGGTGGGTGGATAACCTGAGGTCAGGAGTTTAAGACCA